CCTTGGCTACGGCCTGGTTGCAGCATGTGCCGCTGTCTTGACTGCTACCTGGGCTTCGACCTTGGTTACGGCCTATGCTGCTGCTAGGGCAGGCGCCAGAGCCATGGCTTGCGTTGTTATTGTTATCATTGGAAGTGCGTGGTATGCGAAGGCGTGCACGAATGTGCGCACAACTCGCTCACTACAGTCAAAAGATAACCGTGCGGGTGGCGCACAAGCCACACTACACAGGTCGTGCGCAGGACAGGTTACCCAGGACATGCGCATGCTAGGCCAGGCTGCCAAGGCCGTAAGCAGGCCAAGCCACGTAGGCCTCTTAACAGAATGCCATGCTACCCAGGCCGCATGCAGGCCAGGCAGCCAAGGCCGTGGGCATGCTAGGCCATCAGAATGCCATGCTACCCAGGCCGCATGCAGGCCAGGCAGCCAAGGCCGTGGGCATGCTAGGCCATGCTGCCTAGGTCGTGCGTATGCTAGGCGGCCCAAACCGCGCGCATGCCAGGCTGCCAAAGCCGCGTGCATACCATGCCGCCCAGGCCTCGCTCATGCTAGGCCGCCTAGGCTGTGTGCAGAAGAGGCCATGCTGCCACGCTACCTAGGCTGCGCACAGGCTAGGTTGCCATGCCACCCAGGCCGTGGGCGTGCGAAGCTGCCCAGGCCACATGCCGGCCAGGCTACTACGTTGCTGAGGTCGCGAGAGTGCCATCCTGCCTAGGTCGCGCGCATGCCATGCGGGCAAGTCGGCAAGGCCGCGGGCAAGGCCGCAGCCCAAGCCGCGGGCATTCTGGGCTGCTAGGCTATGGCTTGGATGCATGCACGCCAAATAGGCATGTCGGCCAGGCCGCGCATGGGCCTTGCCATGCCGCCGGTGAAGGCGGGCGTGCCACTACTACCACCACGAGGTGCCATTCGACACATCCCATGCTTGCCATAAGCCAATCAACGGCATGTGCCAAGGGCGCGGCGTGGCCTGAACGTGGCTTGTGGCCTAGCCTACGGCCTAGCCTTGCCTTGCTGGGAGGTGCCCTCTCCTTATAGTAGCTTGTTAATCCTTTTTGGCCCTGGCAGAAGGAAACATCACCTATGCTCGAGGAGTCATAATGAGATTTTTTTAAAAAGTAACGTTTTTTTCCATGAATTTTAAGAAAATAATTAAAGACACCATAAAAAAAAATTGAAAAAAATATTTGGCTACCAGAATATTTTATTTTAATTTATTTCTATTTTAATACTTAAAAATAATAAAAATTACTAAAAATAGTGAAAAAATTGTAGAAATGATTCCAAATTAATTAAAGGATGAGACACAAGTAATTATAGTAATTTTTAAATTATTTTTTTAATTTTTATTGAAAATTTTTATAAGTAAATAAATATTTAAAAAATTGGAAAAACTAAAGAAAAATAGCAAAAAAAGAAAAAAGAAATTACATTTAAAATTAATACTAGTGCATTATTAATTTTATGGCTTGGTTTTGGTAAGAATATAAAATAATCATGTTCAAAACAAGCGGTAAAAATGTACGAAATACGACACATTTGTCAGGCAAAACGATAAAATACACAATAAGTGATAGAAAACAACTGGTGCAATGCGACATTAAACAATTTCCATTTGGATAAGATGATGATACCACAAAAAGTAATTACGGCTCGATATGTGGCGGCCTGGGCTGTGGCCTGGGCTGCGGCCAAGGCTGAGGTCTCACAATGGATTATTGGCCAAGGCAGAGACCTGTGCTGTTGGCCAAGGCTGTGGCCTATGTTATTGGCCAAGGTTGCAGCCTGTGTTGCTGGCCAAGGCTGTGGCCTATGTTATTGGCCAAGGTTGCAGCCTGTGTTGCTGGCCAAGGCTGTGGCCTGTGCTGCTGGCCAAGGCTGTGGCATGGCATGCTGGCCAGGCTGCGGCGTGTGCGGCAGCATACGGGCCAAGGCTATGGCATGGCATGCTGGCTAAGGCTGTGGCATGGCATGTTGGCCAAAATTGTGGCATGTGCTGCAGCATGCAGGCCCAGGCTGTGGCATGGCATGTTGGCCAAGGCTTCGGCCTATGCTGCAGCATGTGGGCTAAGGCTGTGGCCTATGTTGCAGCATGTTGGCTAAGGTCGTGGCATGGCTTGCTGGCCAAGGCTTTGGCCTGGCATGCTGGCCAAGGCTATGGCATGCCATGTTGCTGTCCAAGGCTGTGGCATGGCATGTTGGCCAAGGTTATGGCATGGGATGCTGGCCATGGCTGTGGCATACAACGCTGGCCAAGGCTGTGGCATGGCATGCTGGCCAAGGTTTTGGCTTGGCATGCTGGCTAATGCTGCGGCCTGTGCTGTAGAATGTTAGCCAAGGCTATGGTATGCTCTACAGCATGTTGGCCAAGGCTATAGCTTGCTGGCCAAGGCGGCCGTTGCACAACTCGTCGCAAAGTGTTTGCAATCCCCTTAGGCCTTAGGACCTTTGTTTCGGCATGCATGCGAATCGTTTTCTTGTCTCGAGGCACACACTTGGGCTATATTATGTGTTCTCGGACCTGGCATGTTGGCCAATGATGCAGCCTGTGTTGCAGCATGCTGGCTAAGGCTGCCGTCGCACAACTTGTCATAAAGTGTTAGCAATCCCCTTAGGCCTTAGGAATTTCATATCGGTACGCATCACAATGCTTGAGCACTGGGTATAAATCACATTGCGTGAGCATCTGCAGGGACCATCACAATGCTTTATTTTAATTAAACAACCGGATTCCCCCTGTCCGTACCAGTTCTGAGTTAACTATTCGCTGCCCGAGGAAAGGCCCTACGAGGAGCTGTTCCCAGTCCGCCCCCCAGCCGGCATGCAGCAACCTGCTTTCACCGCGGGAGTAGCTCGAGCAGTCCGCTGACAGCCGACGGGTTCGGGACTAGGACCCTTGTGCCCAGTCCTCAAAGCCAATCCTTTTCCCGAAGTTACGGATCCATTTTGCCGACTTTCCTTACCTACATTGTTCCATCGACTAGAGGCTGTTCACCTTGGAGACTTGATGCGATTATAAGTGCGACCGGGCATAGGAGGCACTCGGTCCTCCGAATTTTCAAGGGTCGCCGGGGGGCGCACCGGACACCACGCGACATGCAGTGCTCTTCTAGCTGCTGGACCCTACCTTCGGCTAAGCCGTTTCCAGGGTGGGCAGGCTGTTAAACAAAAAAGATAACTCTTCCCGAGGCCTCCACCGATGTCTCTGGACTCCCTAATGTTGTCATCAACCACCACGTCTTGGTTCAAGAATTTTTACTCAATTCCCTTTCGAAGCTTGCGCTGAACGCGCTCTCTGTCAGGCTTCCCCCGACTCTTAGGATCGACTAACCCATGTGCAAGTGCCATTCACATGGAACCTTTCCCCTCTTCGGCCTTCATAGTTCTCATTTGAATATTTGCTACTACCACCAAGATCTGCACCAACGGCTGCTCCACCCGGGTTCGCGCCTAAGGTTTCGTAGCAACCATTGTGCCCTGCTACTCATCGGGGCCTGGCACTTGCCCCGACAGCCTGGTATAGGTCCCGTGCTTAAGTGCCATCCATTTTCAGGGCTAGTTGATTTGGCAAGTGAGTTGTTACACACTCCTTAGCGGATTTTGACTTTCATGACCACCGTCCTGCTGTCTTAATTGACCAACACCCTTTGTGGGTTCTAGGTTAGCGTGCAGTTGGGCACTGTAACCCGACTTCTAGTTCATCCCCTATCGCCAGTTCTGTCTACCAAAAATGGCCCACTTGGAGCTCTCAATTTCGTGGCGTGGCTCAATGGAGCAGCCGCACTGTCCTACCTATTTAAAGTTTGAGAATAGGTCGAGGGCGTGCGCTCCCAATACCTCTAATCATTGGCTTTACTTGATAGAACTCGGGTGGGTCCGAGCTCTAGCTATCCTATGGGACACTTCAGAGGGAACCAGCTACTAGACGGTTCGATTAGTCTTTTGCCCCTATACCTAAGTTAGATGAACGATTTACACATCAGTATCGTTGCGGGCCTTCACCAAAGTTTCCTCTGGCTTCGCCCCGCTTAGGCATAGTTCACCATCTTTCAAGTCCCGACAGGCATGCTCACACTAGAACCCTTCTCAAAAGATCAAGGTCGGTCGATGGTGCAACCCATGAGGAGATCCCGTCAATCAGTTTTCTTGCGCCTTACGAGTTTACTCACCCATTGACTCGCACACATGTAAGACTCCTTGGTCCGTGTTTCAAGACGGGCCGAATGGGGAGCTCGCAAGCCGGTGCCAGGAGCTTGGGCTTTGGCCTCCGCACCAATCCGCACCGGTCCACGCCCTAAGTCGATCGGCGAACTAGCTAGTCGTCGTTCCATAGCCGACTAGGGCGCATTGCCGGTCCCCATCCACTTCCCTCTTGACAATTTCAAGCACTCTTTGACTCTTTTTTCAAAGTCCTTTTCATTTTTCCCCCGCGGTACTTGTTTGCTATCGGTCTCTCGCCCGTATTTAGTTTTGGACGGAATTTGCCGCCTGATTAGGGCTACATTCCCAAGCAACCTGACTCACAGACAGTGCCTCGTGATGCGACAGGGTTCGGGCACAACGGGGCTCTCACCCTATCCGACGCCTCTTTCCAAGGGACTTGGCCCGGTTCGCCGCTGATGATGCTTTTCCAGACTACAATTCGAACAATGGGGTTGCTCGATTTTCAAGCTGGGCAATTCCTGGTTTGCTTGCTGTTACTAGGGGAATCCTTGTAAGTTTCTTTTCCTCCGCTTATTGATATGCTTAAACTCAGTGGGTAATCTTGCCTGACCTGGGGTCGCGATTGGAGTGCCTTGGCAGCTGCGCGATAAGGTCACAACAAACCTCCCGCGACGACTCGGACGTGCGCGAGGCGACGCAACGGTTTGTCAACCACCACTCGTCGCGAAGTGTCGTCTATCGCGGGGGACTCGTTTTTAGGTCAACCTCACGCAGGTGGTGAACATCTGCTCGCAACCCTTCCCTTCGAGGAGAGGGGGTACGGGCGACACAACGTGAGACGCCCAGGCAGACGTGCCCTCAACCTAATGGCTTTGGGTGCAAATTTTGTTCAAAGACTCGATAGGTCACGGGATTATGCAATTCACACCAAGTGTCGCATTTCGCTACGTTCTTCATTGATGCGAGAGCCGAGATATCCATTGCCGAGAGTCGTTTAGTTTTTTTCGTGTGATGCAGCACATGAGCGCGCTCTCTTTGTTCAACGCAACGTGAGACGCCCAGGCAGACGTGCCCTCAACCTAATGGCTTTGGGTGCAAATTTCGTTCAAAGACTCGATAGGTCACGGGATTATGCAATTCACACCAAGTGTCGCATTTCGCTACGTTCTTCATTGATGCGAGAGCCGAGATATCCATTGCCGAGAGTCGTTTAGTTTTTTTCGTGTGATGCAGCACATGAGCGCGCTCTCTTTGTTCAAGTTCCTTGGCGCAATTCACACCGGGGTTTGTTATTTTGTTGAGGAATGGCACCTGCTGTCCCCGGAGGGGCCTTGGGCGCACTCCGGATGAAGGGCCACAGAAAGGAACTGATGGCCCGTCTCCTGCTTCCCTAGCGGTAATATGACAAGTTCGCAGGTCGTTCTTCTACGCAGGGGCATCGACAATGATCATTTCACAGGTAATATGACAACTTCTTCTTCCTCTAAATTATGAGGTTCAGTGGACTTCTTACGACGTTGCCAGCAACGAACCACCCACGTCGCCGTGATCCGAACACTTCATCGGACCATTCATCAGTAGGAGTGACGGGCGGTGTGTACAAAGGGCAAGGACGTAGTCAATGCGAGCTAATGACTCGTACTTACGAGGAATTCCTTGTTGAAGACCAACAATTACAATGATCTATCCCCATCATGACGAAATTTCAAAGGTTACGCGGGCCTATCGGCCAAGGCCATAGACTCGTTAAATACATCAGTGTAGCACGCGTGCGGCCCAGAACATCTAAGGGCATCATAGACTTGTTATTGCCTTAAACTTCTGTGGCCTGAAGGGCCATAGTCCCTCTAAGAAGCTAGTTGGGGAGGGTCACCTCCACATATCTAGTTAGCAGGCTGAGGTCTCGTTCGTTAACGGAATGAACCAGACAAATCACTCCACCAACTAAGAACGACCATGCACCACCTCCCATAGAATCAAGAAAGAGCTCTCAGTCTGCCAATCCTTACTATGTCTGGACCTAATAAGTTTTCCCGTGTTGAGTCAAATTAAGCCGTAGGCTCCACTCCTAGTGGTGCCCTTCTGTCAATTCCTTTAAGTTTTAGCCTTACGACCATACTCCTCCCGGAACCCAAAAACTTTGATTTCTCATAAGGTGCTAGCAGAGTCCTATAAGTAACATCTGCAGATCCCTAGTCGGTATCGTTTATGGTTGAGACTAGGACGGTATCGGATCGTCTTCGAGCTCCCAACTTTCATTCTTGATTAATGAAAACATCCTTGGCAAATACTTTCACAGTTGTTCGTCTTTCATAAATCTAAGAAATTCACCTCTGACTATGAAATATGAATGTCCCCGACTGTCCCTATTAATCTTTACTCCGATCCCAAAGACCAGCGTAATAGGATCGAAATCGTATGATGTTATCCCATGCTAATGTATCCAGAGCATAGGCTTGCTATGAGCACTCTAATTTCTTCAAAGTAACAGTGCCAGAGGCACGAACCGGCCAATTAAGACCAGAAGCGCATTGCCGGCAGAAGGGACAAAACGACCAGTGCACACCTGAGGCAGACCAGTCGACCCAACCCAAAATCCAACTACGAGCTTTTTAACTGCAACAACATAAATATACGTTATTGGGGCTGGAATTACCATGGCTGTTGGTACCAGACTTACCCTCCAATGGATCCTCGTTAAGGGATTTAGATTGTACTCATTCCAATTAACAGACTCAAAGAGCGCGGTATTGTTATTTATTGTCACTACCTCCTCGTGTTAGGGTTGGGTAATTTGCGCGCTTGATTCCTTCCTTGGATGTGCTAACCGTTTCTCAGGCTTCCTCTCCGGAATCGAACCCTAATTCTCTGTCACCGTCACCACCATAGTAGGCCACTATCCTACCATCGAAAGTTGATAGACAGAAATTTGAATCATGTGTCGCCGACTCAAAGGTCGTGCATCCGTCGAGTTATCATGAATCATCAAAGCAACGGGCATAGCCCACGTCGGCCTTTTATCTAATAAATGCATCCCTTTCAGAAGTCGGGGTTTGTTGTACGTATTAGCTCTAGAATTACTACAGTTATTCAAGTAGCAAATACCATCAAACAAACTATAACTGATTTAATGAGCCATTCACAGTATCACAGTCTGAATTAGTTCATATTTACACATGCATGGCTTAATCTTTGAGACAAGCATATGACTACTGGTAAGATTAACCAGGTAGCATTCGTTTTTTACGACGCCGACACTGCATAAGCCCGACCAACAGAGTTGGCAAGGTCAGAGGCAGGCACGGCCGTAGCCCGCAATGAGCAATGAACGCTTAGCAGGGAAACGAAGGTCGAAGACTACGTGTACCCGCACAAGGCTATGAATCCGAGAGCACAAGTATAACTGCCCGCGGGCCATGCTACCAACACAACAACATGAAGACAGCATGGAACACATGAGATACTTTGGGGTTCACCCAATGCCACGAGGTGGCAAGACGAATATAGGCACATGATTCAGACCGAATTCCTTTTCGTTAGGTAGGCAACACAGGAACCCATATGAGGCAGAAGGCAAAATTTTTCCTTCAAGCACGAATGAAGAAGAATGCACCAGAGGAGTTCGCTACACAGGTAGGGATCCATCTCACTCCCACAAACCAATCACAACTCACGTGCCACGACATACACTATGCACCAGCCCCCCAAAACGAATCACACCCCAAAGGACTAAGAAGCCAGACGAACGTGCGAAAACATTTAGAGAAGCCGAGCAAGCACCGGTTAGCACAACTATAAATAACAAAGGCAATAGGCAACTTCTGAGAGACATAATTTTCGCAACAAGCATCCACTAGGAAAGCACAAGCAACTCGTTCGTAAGTCGAAAGCCAACCAAATGGAAATTACCAAAGGGACGTGCTTTTCAGCAGGCAGCTCCCACTAGGGATCTGCAGGAAATTTGTAGGCAAATCAAAGCTAACATAATGGCAATTACCCGAGGGACATAACTTTTCGCAAGGAGCTTTCACTAGGAAAGTGCAGGCAACTTGTAGGCAAGTCAAAGCCAACCTAATGGCAATTAACCGAGGGACATAACTCTTCGCAAGGAGTTTCCACTAGGAAAGCGATGGCAACTTGTAGAAATCCCACAAATGATGAAGAGGAATGCACTAGTGGAGTTCGCTGCACAAGTAGGGATCCATCCAACTTGCACAAACCAATCACAACTCACGTGCCATGATGTACACTATGCATCAGCCCCCCAAAACGAATCATACCCTGAAGGACTAAGAAGCTTGACGAACGTGCAAAAACATTTAGAGAAGCTGAGCAAGCACCGATTAAAGCGATTGCAAATGACAAAGACAATAAGCGACTTCTGAGGGACATAATTTTGGTAACAAGCTTCCACTAGGAAAGCACATCCGACTTTTAGGCAAGTCAAAGCCAACCCAATGGCAACTAACTAAGGGAGATAACTTTTTGCAAGGAGCTTCCACTAGGAATGCGCAGATGATGAAGGGGAATGCCACGGATGATGAAGAGGAATGCACCAATGGAGTTCGCTGCACAGGCAGGGATCCATCCAACTCGTACAAACCAGTCACAACTTACACGCTACGACGTACATTATGCACCAACCCCCCAAAATGAATCACAACCCGAAGCACTAAGAAGCCCGACGAACTTGTGAAAACATTTAGAGAAGCCGAGCAAGCATTGATTAGCGCGACTGCAAATAACAAAGGCAACAGGAAACCACTGAGGGACATACTTTTTGCAACAAACTTCCACTAGGAAAGCACAGGCAACTCGATCGTAAGTCAAAGCCAACCAAATGGCAATTACTCGAGAGACAGGCTTTTCGCAAGGCAGCTTCCACTAGGGAAGCGCACGCAACTTGTAGGCAAGTCAAAGCCAGTCTAATGGCAATTACCTGAGGGACATAACTTTTCGCAAGGAGCTTCCACTAGGAAAGTGTAGGCAACTTGTAGGCAAGTCAAAGCCAACCAAATGGCAATTAACCGAGGGACATAACTCTTCGCAAGGAGCTTCCACTAGGAAAGCACTGGCAACTTGTTGGAATCCCACGGATAATGAAAAGGAATGCACCAGTGGAGTTTGTTGCATAGGCAGGGATCCATCTAACTCACACAAACCAATCACAACTCACGCGCCACGACGTACACTATGCACCAGCCCCCCAAAACGAATCACACCCGGAGGACTAAGAAGCCCGACGAACATGCGAAAATATTTAGAGAAGCCGAGCAAGCACCAGTTAGCGCGATTACAAATAACAAAGACAACAAGCGACGTTTAATTGACATAATTTTTGTAACAAGTTTCCACTAGGAAAGTACATGCATCTTGAACGTAAGTAAAAGCCAACCTAATGGCAATTACCCAAGGGACATGCTTTTCGCAAGGCAACTTGTACGTAAGTCAAAGCCAACCAAATGGCAATTACCCGAGGGACATGCTTTTTGTAAGGCAACTTTCGCAAGGGAAAGGTAGGCAACTTGTAGGCAAAAGTCAAAGCCAACCCAATGGCAATTACCCGAGGGACATACTTTTCGAAAGGAACAGGGCAAGCTCTACTGCCAAGGCCGCCCGTAGACTAGGCTGGCATGTTAACAAAGCCGCAAGCAGGCCAGGTTGACAAGGCCACCCATGGGATAGGTTGCCAAGGCCGTGTGCATGACATAAAGCCAAGGCCACGCGCATACGATGCTGCCATACCACCCTGGATAGGTGCATGCCACGCTGCCAAGGCTATGCGCATGCCAAACAGCTATGCTACTTTGGTTGCAGGCATGCCATGCTACCTAGGCCGCGGGCACGCCTTGCTGCCAAGTCGGCTAGGCCGCGAGCATGCCAAGATGCAACGTCAAGGGTGTGGACCTGGATGCGTGCACGCCAAGATGGCATGCCGACCAGGCCGTAGCCAATGCCGTTCACAAGCCATATAGCGTTGCCAACCAAGGCC